TTGTTTTTGAGTGCAGTTATGTAACAGAAAATAGTGTACATTTGTAAGTTGCACTTTCATCATAAAGAGATTGCAGTACAGTATTTATGAGGTAAATTGAAAAATGCTAGTTTGTCATTTTTACTGTGCAAATATTTGTAATAAAAATATAAAGTGATCACTATACCATTTGTATTCTGTGTTGTAATTTAAATCAATATATTTGAAAATGTAAAAAAATCCCAAATACTTAAATTTTATTTGATATTCTATTTTTAATCACAATTAATTTTTAAAATCATGATTATTTTTTGAGTTAATCGCATGAGTTTACTGTAATTAATCAACTGCCTTGCTTTATATTTTATCTTCTTTATAACCTGAGCTGCATTTCCAAACATCTGACCATCTGACAAAACAACTTGGAGAGTTTCATGAATATTATTGCTTTTCATTTTCCAATCACCATTCTGCAAAAAAGCAAGATCTTTAGTTTTCCCACTTCAAATTCTGCTGTCCTAACAAAAGACATAAACTAGTTTTTCCTCAACAAGCAAAAGTATTAGTTAAAATATACATTAAATTAAAACAAACAAAAAATAGTGAAATTTTCTGGAAAGGGGCAAATGTGCTTATTCATTCATTCATTCATTCAGTTATCGACAAGAGAGATTAGTACACACCATTATTGTTTTAGACAGTGATTTTGGCTTTTTTAACTGCAGAATGAAACAATTCTCTCTCCCTCTGTGATAATTATTTTTTTTCAGTTTCCCTGTTTACAAATGAGAAACTGTTAATTGAAACACAGAATGAATCATTGCTTCCACCCATTTCTGGCAAAATTCTGATTTGTGTCAATCCAAGTCTAATAATTAGGTCTCTTTTTAAATCAAGAATCATAACAGTATGTATTTTAAGTTTGTGTCCAAATAAAGATTGACTGATTTGAATAAATGTTAGATTAACAATACAGTTTGGTTAAAATTGGGTTTGTAATTATCTTTAATAAATCATGGTGTTTGATGACTAAAGACTAATATTAAATATAGCTAAAATGAGAGCACAGTTTTTTCCAGGTGAAAAAGAAAAGCCTTTAAAGGCCTTACAACTAGTATTAGCAGCCATGGTATATGGGCCATCACTAATGTTCATCACTAAAATCAGCTTTTTATCAGCCATCCAAGGGAATTCATTTGGAAAGCTAATTGAATGTCATTGGCAAGGGCACACTTTGCAATAGGTGGCCAATCATGCATTCTTTTGGTATTTGCTGTATAAACATGAATCACAGTGAACCCATTTATTCTTGTGAATATACTCCATTATTCCATGTGAATTCCATTGTAATTTGCTACTCTAGAAGAAAACAAACTATTGATAGGGTTCATAAAATGTGTGAAAACACCAGCATGCTTTGTGATACCAGTATGGTGATGAAAGACTCTTTCTGGTTTGGTTTGGTTTTCCATTTCAAATTATTTAGTTGCATTTCATATGTATGATAGGGCCCTGCACACATGTTCAGTATGGCAAGAACATGTACAGTGAGCATTCAAGTTCAGAAATGAAAGACTAGAAAATGAACATACACCAGGGGTAGCCAAATACTGGCCCTGAGCAGGCCCCCACACCACTATATTTTCCTGCTCCTTTGCAGATATAGGGGATCACAGTTCCCATTGGCCATGGATCATCATTCCCAGCTGACGGGAGTTGCAATTGCCCATACCTGTGGAGGGGCAGGTAAATATAGCAACAGAGGCCTACCAACGGCTAACCCTGGTGAACCGTTGCCATTTTATTACCCAGGCCTGACATACACTCATACCCGCTTCACCCAGAGTCAGAAGCCAATGTAAAAGAAGAAGCCATTTGTACACCAAAGAGTTTCACCAGTCCTTATAGCATTCCCATAGGCACACACAAGGATCCTTCTTTATCTGCCTGTGATTAAGGTGATCATATTTTCAAAGTCAAAGAAATGGAAAGTCTTTTGTGGCCAAGTGTTTTTAAGGTCATGATTTGTTCACATACCGTACTTTTTAATAAAACATACGTCTGTGTCAATGTGACTAGCTTCTGACACAACATGTTTTTCGGTGTGGCGGATTTTTTTTTCTGCCTAGTAACTTGGTGGCTTTTGTGAACCTCTCAACAAGTGTTAATATTCATTCTGAGCAAAATAGCACCCAACAAAAACAGCGCTGATGAAGTATCTACTATAAATTCATTTGATTTTCTCTGGACTTCAAACACATGTCTTCCCATTGAAAGGTTATGCCCAATGAACACAGAATGAAATTTCCTCTGTTACAGTTATCTGGCTTTGAACAAATAATTTGTTGTTATTGGAAAAAAAGCAAAATGTATTCACTGATCAAATGGAAAACTAGGATATTATGTGTCCCCCCAAAGTAATTTCCTTGGGCACTGGGTGCCATGTGAAATATTGGTATATGTGGCCATTTTGCCCTCAAGGGGCAAAGTGAATGCCTGAAACAGAGTAATAAGGAATAATAAATAGTTTCCATTATTGTCTTTCTCTCAAAATCTTTTGATTTTGCACAAACTATAGACCTTGTACCTAGCCATTGGCGAATACAGGTTTACAGTATTAAACCTGTTGAGTGTGACAATAGGAGTTGTAACTCTGAATTCTGTAGGCCAACTAAGAATCTCTGTACAAAGTAATTGAAATGTGAGATCTTATTCCATACTTAAGGTAACCTTTGGGTGACAGTCTTCTGCTTTCTAGGCTATTATCCACATCAGGGAATACAAAAGCGAGGAGATAAAGCAAGCAATTATATCAAAATCAAATATATAATAAACACTTAGAAGAAGCCTCGATACCTAGCACATTTTTAAGTAAAAGACATAGGGAATGTGAGCAAATTAATTTTTTCAAACTAAAGACCTCTTGCCTACTTAAGTTTATCAAAGAATCACTTAGTCTTATAAGCTGGACCTCTGATATTAACCGTGAGGGTCATAGAATTCTGGAGTATGAGATAAAACAGAGAAAACTCAGCACTGACACGGAGATAAATTAGAGCAATCAAACTTATCTTATCTCTACCTCCTAGAATGCAATAATTGAAACTGAAGAATATTTGGCTACAAGACTTATGGGGCTTAATAAATGACTTCTGAAGCCTAATGTGCTAGGGATGTGTAAGAAAGATGCAAAACAAACAAACAAACAAACAAACCCCACTGCAAACACGTTTCTACTAAGTGCTCTCTTGCACGATGAAGCCATAATATGTCTCTACCTCTACAAAAGAACATGTATACACACACATCTCTGCCAATTAAACTTACATATCATACCATGCCATCATGTCCTGTGTGTGGGACTGATCCAAAAATCCACTGATGTGAATAGAAAGATTCCCCTTGACTTCAGTGGACTTTGGTCAGACTTGTAACACAACGTAGCATATGATACAGAAAAATCCATGTACTGTGTTTGCTGCTGCAGTTTTTCCACATTCTATCTGTAAAACCAATTACTTTAGTTACTAGGAGCCCAATTGAGCAGGCCTTGCTATGGTTGCCTGCTGCTGAGCATTGGACAACTGTTTACACTGAGCTTTTGACAGTAACATTCAGGGCTTTCTCCTGAAGAGTTACAGTTAATTTTGAGCCATGGCATCTCCTTTCATATTGAAAAGGAGAGAAGCAGGCTTTAGATGTAGAAATCCCCACAAGAAATTTCTCTCTGAGAGACTGACTTAGTTGACCTTGTATGAGGGGAGGGAAAAAATGCCTCAAAACTTGGAGACCACAAGACCCTTTGTGAGAGGCCAACATCATCCAAATGGAGATCGTGAAAGATGTACAATCTGCTTCTAGCAGCTCACCCCATGGTAACTTGCAAAAGTAGCTAATACAATCTGGGTTTGTATCAGCTTCTCTGGTTAATTTCTATGGGGTTGGATGGACTAAAATGCATCTCCTAAAAAGCTCTGACGTCAATCTGCCCCCAACTCGACACTGTAAACAGGGCCTGGCTGTGGAGGCCCCCAAATTCCCTTTCTGTGCAGACAAATAGAGCTCCACAGGTAGACCTGAGGGTGATGTTAATGACCTGAAAAGGCCTTCGAACAAACACAGCAGTTGTGGTTCCAAGAAGCTAGAAGATCCTCCAATTTGCATGAATTTGCATTTGTCAACACTGAATTTCATCTGCCCTCATGCTGTTCATTCACTTGGCTTTGTTAGGTCTCTCTGAAAGAAATCTTTTCTAATCATTATTTGCCTAATTACCTTTTGTGTACTCTGCACATGTTGTCCCCTCAAAATCCACACCATTTTCCAGATCACTGATACATATATTTAATCATCACCAGTGTGGGAATAGAATTTTGCAACGCTGTTTGCAGCATTGGAAACGGATTTTTTAAAATTTTTATTCTTAATATTTCTGTTTCTTATATGTAGCTTTCTAATAATAACATTACTTCACATTTCATCCCATAACTTTTCCCCAAATTTGTTTTTATTTAAAAGGTGAGTTTAAAGTAATTTTCCCCCACTCTCTAATAACTCAGAAATGGCTAAAGAGATTTTCAGCAAATTTTAAAAAAGGGAAAAAAAATCCAACAATTCTGGACTTAAATTAAGCAAGAAAAGCCTTTCAGAAAACACCAAAGGATTTTTCCTTTCCATCTCAAAATAAACTGATAGATTTCACAAATCTTTATTCTGCTGTTAGATGAAGGTCACTACAACTGCTTTTACACAAATGATAATGCAGTAAATCACTACAGCATCCACAGTAGATTACAATGCATAGCAGTACAGAGTTCTAGAGGATCATCTCATAATCATGGTTTTTACTATGTAACAAGAAACTTTCAGTGCTTGCTGAATTACGGGAATGTACTCATTGGGAAAGTGGCATGCATTATATAGTGTTAACCAATAATTGCATGAGTGTACACATTTTCACAGGTGTTTGGTTACCACAACACACTATTGCCATACTCTGACATATTCCTTTTTCTTCCCAGCACACTGTTGTATTGCCACTTGCTCTGCTGGAGATCTTTGCTACCCCACACCGTTATCCATCAAAGAAGAAAGGACTGATCCTATTAGGATTTGTTTCTCTTGCCTATCTCAGCTGGTAAGAATTATATATTGTAATCACTTGATTTTTCAGTAAGTGGTCCGCTCCAGAAAACCTGGCAAAATTCTGTATTTAGAAGATTATTTTTCCCTATAAAGAAAATGTATAAATCGAAATAATCACATCATGGCCAGTTTTCAGGAAAAGCCATTGAGAGGACTTTTTTTGTATGTTTGTAAGAATTACATGATTTTCCCTGAAAACAAAAGTCCAGGAGGACTTTTTCCGGCCATGCGTTTAGTCGGCCTCCTCAAAAAACAACAATGTGCCTGAAGCCATCCACAACATGACCTGCTGCTTCAGAGCCTCTCTTGAAAGACACGTTGTGCTAAATTTTAACAAACCAGGGGGTTGCTTTGGAAATCTCCACTAGAGCAGTGTCCTCAGTTTGTTTCCACCCATGTTTCCTTACTGGATCCTACCAAATTCACATGCAGGCTTGCAAACCTAGTGAGGAGGACTTTAAACTAGGTTTGTTGGGGAACGGTGACCTAAGCCCTGAGGTAAGTGGGGAAGTGGGATACTGGGAAGAAACACAAGGAGGAAGGAGCAACAAAGGAGGACCCCTGATTCAAATGGAGAAGGTAGGGCAATCAACTAGTTATCTAAGGTGTTTGTACATGAATGTAAGCCTGGGAAACAAACAGGAAGAATTAGAAGCCCTGGTCCAGTCAAAGAACTATGATTTGACTGGAATAATGGAGACTTGGTGGGATGACTCGCATGACTGGAGCCCTGTCATGGAAGGGTATAAACTGTTCAGGAAGAACAGGAAGGGGAGAAAAGGAGGAGGAGTTGCACTGTATATAAGAGAGCAGTACGATTGCTCAGAGCTCCAGTATATGGAGGGAGAAAAGCCTGTTGAGAGTCTTTGGGTTAAGTTTAGAAGCAGGAGCAACAGGGCTGATGATGTAGTTGGTGTCTGCTATAGGCCACCAGATCAGATGGATGAGGTAAACGAGACTTTCTTCAGACAACTGAGAGAAGCTTCCAGATCACAGGCCCTGGTTCTCATGGGGGACTTTAATCACCCTGGCATCTGTTGAGAGACCAATACAGCAGTACACAGACAATCCAGGAAGTTTTTGGAAAATGTTGGGGATAACTTTCTCGTACAAGTGCTGAAGGAACCCACCAGGGGCCATGCGCAGCTTGACCTGCTGCTCACAAACAGCGAGGAACTAGTAGGTGAAGTAGATGTGGGTGGCAACCTGGGAAGCACTGAGTTTGACATGGTAGATTTCAGGATCCTGACCAAAGGAAGAAAGGAGAGCAGCAAAATACAAACCCTGAATTTCAGAAAAGTAGACTTTGACTCCCTCAGGGTATGTCTACACTACAAAGTTAGTTCGAACTAACAGACGTTAGTTCGAACTAACTTTCATAGGCGCTACACTAGCGCTCCATTACTTCGAATTTAATTCGAACTAGCGGAGCGCTTAGTTCGAACTAGGTAAACCTCATTCCACGAGGATGAAGCCTAGTTCGAACTAGCTAGTTCGAATTGAGGGGTGCGTAGCCCCTTAATTCGAACTAGTGGGAGGCTAGCGCTCCCCAGGTTTCCCTGGTGGCCACTCTGGCCAACACCAGGGAAACTCTACTGCCCCCCTCCCAGCCCCGGACCCCTTAAAGGGCACAGCCCTCGGCTAGCCTGAGACAGCATCTCCACGCTCTAAGTCCTCCTCTGATGCCCTGCCGGCACTGCTTCCGGCCATCCTTAAGCCTGGTTCAGGGTCCACTTAATGTGGACATGCTAGTTCGAATTAGCAAAACGCTAATTCGAACTATGTTTTTAGTCTGGATCCGTTAGTTCGAATTAGCTTAGTTCGAATTAACGTTGTAGTGTAGACGTACCCTCAGAGAACTGATGGGCAGGATTCCCTGGGATGCTAACATGAAGGGGAAAGGAGTCCAGGAGAGCTGCCAGTATTTTAAAGAAGCCTTATTAAAGGCACAGGAAGAAACCATGCCGACGCGCAGTAAGAAAAGCAAATATGGTAGGCGACCACATTGGCGTCTTTTCAAAAAGGGGGATGCGCTGGTGGATCCTTTGGTTCTGCTGCTTCTTACCTATGACAATGGACACATTATTTCAAATGAACTTGCCTTGGTCATTAAATTGTTTGTTTCAGTCCCACTAAAACCAAAACCAAAACCAGCCCATAATATTCACGTAAACTGTACAGACAAAATGCACTTATGATTTCAGATCCTTCTATAGTGGCTTGGAAATATGGAGCTTTGTTACTACATTATATGACCATATGTTAGGAATGGTTTATCTTAATCTTATTTTAACCTTAAAGAGATTACAATCATTGCTTCCCAAATTCCTCTCCTGTGAGCCATTTTGCTGCATTCGTTAGCATTAAGCCACATTTTGTTTTCTTCTGAGGCTCAGTGACGTAATGATCAAACAGGCTCATTGCTTCCCTGGGCAATGTGTGTGTTGGGGGGGGGGGGGAAGAGGTAGCTCCATGCTTCCAGAAAGGGTGTGGGCCTCGGTAAAAGGGGCAGGGCTGCGTTGCTCCCCCAACCGGCCTCCAGAGCTGGCCAGAGTGCATGTTAATAGTCCAATCATTGGGTCTGATGCTCCATAATCAGCATCTTTACCACTCCTCTTTCCTCCAAGCTATGGAATCAGATGGTTCGTTTGCCATGTGAGGTATTGGATTAGCCAGGAAAACAAGTAAAGAATCAAGCAGGGCAGCCAAAATGGCTTCCCACTGCATGTGCCTTTCTTCAAGGGCTGCTTCCACATGGGATTTCATTACAAAATGTGATTTTTGCTGGACTCAGAACTGGGAGGTGGCTTCCAACCAAGGGAGGCTGCCAGGCATGGTGAGAAATCTGGCAGACATACTAGTGAATTCCTACCATGACAGATTTTGATATCCCTTCTCATGATAAGTAGAATATTACTCTACAAGTAATCAACCAAAAGTATCAAAAACCTGGCCTGTAATCATCTTCCCGGTCTTAAAATACCAATACTAGATCTGTGGAACTCTTACGTTATGCAACTTTAGACCTTAAATACATCCTGCCCTTTCCCATTTTAATTGTAAAATCAACATAACAGCAAAAAGCATAGTAATATGGGTGCCAATCACCAAAAATATACCTTGGGCCATAACATGGAGTAGGTCACACCACCTTTCAAGATCAGTAAATATAAATAATCATATAATATGCACTGCATCTTAAGCTATAAATAAATACATAAGTAAATAAATGTGGGGTCTCTACTCCATCGCTTTCAAGTCATGTATCCACTCCATTTTGATGATGAATTAAAATATTTCAAGTACAGATTGAACATCTCTAATCCACAACTCTCCGGTCTGGCAACATCCATGGTCCGGCATGATTTTAGTTCATCGTATGTCCACTTATCATGGGCATGGCCTAGTCCCATAAAGTTTGTTGATGGTCACCAGTCCTGGCTCTCAGTGTTCTGTGCTGTTATTTAGCTCTAATTTACCCCTACATGTCTTCTAATAGCCCAGTAAGCAGCGGAAGTGTTAGTACTGCTACTGGACAAGATTGATGTCCCGTGGTTTGGCAAATTCTCTGGTTTGGCACTCGTCAGGTCATAAGAACATAACATAAGAATGGCCATACTAGGTCAGAACAAAGGCCCATCTAGCCCAGTAGCCTATCTTCTGACACTGGCTAATACTAGGTCCCTCCAGAAGGAATGAACAGAACAGATAACCATCAAGTAATCCCACCCCTTTTGCGCATTCCTAGTTTCAGACAAACAGAGGCTAGGGACCCCATCCCTACCCATCTGGTGTAATAGGCATTGTTGGACATATCCTCCATTAATCTATGTAGCTCTTTTTTGAAGCCTGTTAAAGTCCAAGTCTTCATGCACTCCCTGCCAGGGGATGTTGTGAACCTTTTGTCTGTTTTAAACCCGCTACCTATTAATTTCATTTGGTGACCCCTAGTTCTTACATTATGAGAACAAGTAAATAATTTTTCCTTATTCACTTTTTCCACACCAGTCATGATTTCATAGACCTCTGTCATATTGCCCCCTTAGTCTCCTCTTTCCTCAATTGAAGAGTTCCAGTCCTTTTAATCTCTCTCCTTATAGGACCCATTCCAAACCGCATTTCTGTTGCCCTTTTCTGAACTTTTTCCAGTGCCAATATATCTTTTTTGAGAAGAGGTGACTATATCTGTACACAGTATTCAAAATGTGGGTGTACCACGGTTTTATATAGAGGCAATAAGATATTCTCTGTCTTACTCTCCAACTCCTAATATTCTGTTTGTTATTTTGGACTGCCGTTGCCCACTGAGTGGTTATTTTCAAGGAACTCTCCACAATAACTCCAAAAATCTCTTTCAAGTTGTAATAGCTAATTTAGTTCCCTTCATTTTATACCTATACAGGCAGTCCCCGACTTACGCGGATCCGACTTATGTCGGATCTGCACTTACGAATGGGGCTTTCTCGCCCCGGAGCTCGCAGGCAGCGATCCGCCACCTCGACCTCCGGGGCGAGAAAAGCTGCTCCCAGTGCCCCTGGTCTGCTGGGGACCGTCTCCAGCAGACCAGGGGCACCGGGAGCAAAGCCGCAGCAGCGGTGGATTCCCGTGCTTCTGAGGCTTTTGCTTCTGAGGCTATGTTTTTCAATATGCATTACTATGCCCCCAAATCTGGTAGTGTTCTAGTATTCTTGTTACCCCTGTGTCATCTCTTCCTAGAATTACTAAGAAGGGCAAATATTACTTCAGTATTACCCTGGACTACGCATTGTTACTTGATACTCTATTGTATGTCTTATCACAACCATTTCTAAGTTGACATCTACATTTTCAAAATAATAGGCATCTGAATAGGGTATGCATGTTGAACCTATAAACGCATATGCAAAATGTTCAATTGTACAACGAATGCAAATTTTTGACAGTGCATTTCTAGCTGTGTGCTAAAAAAATTCATCCTCTCCATCCATTGTTTCGGCTCACTGTGGCCAAATTTTTCACATATAGGTACCCAAAGACAGGCACTTAAATAAATATTTATGCACCACAACAGCCAGTCAGATTACTTACGTTTCATCAGCTCAAGTGAGAGATGATGATGATTTGTGTGTCTGAAAATCATACCACTTATTTAAATGCATTAAAAAAATGATGTAGGTGCCAAACCTAAGGTACCCAAGTCTGAAAAATTTGATCCACATAATCTAGTCTCATACTACCTAAGACCAGGATCACTGCCTTTTTATTGCTTGAGACACGTGTATCATATTGAACAAAATACATAGAGGCTCTGCATAATAATAAAAAAGGGCAGCTACATCATTTTCCCTATTGAGACTCCAATTAGTGTCAAGCAGCTAATGCTTCCTGTTATTATTACTGAGGCCTTTTTATAGGCTTTTTTATTTCCTCAGTCATTTCACACCCCAGTTGTTTCTTTTGAACAGAGGACCTATGATGTATCTATAAAACTAGCTTCTACTCTTAATGTTCCAAGCTCAGCCCAATAAAACTCTATTACTAGCAATACTGATTTCTCCCATCAACGCTTTTATTTGAGAGTTAACAAATCTTTCTTCACAAACCTCTTCTTTTAGGCCCTACCAGCGCCTTCCTTAACTACTGTTTGTCTGTTTTCCTGCTTTAAGACCATCAAGGAAACTTGTTTTCTCTAGCATTTACCTGTTTCTCAGATTTGTGACATTTCTTAATTCTGGTGACACAGATACTCTGAGGCATGACTCACATAGCCCCGGGGCAGGGTAGTGTTTTCTCACAGAATGGCATACTCTCCTGACCTAGGAAGATAATGGCAGTGGGAGAAAATCACCAGGATTTCTCCCTATTGACAGTGCTGGGGAAAGTCTAAGGGCAGCTTAATGGAGACAACAGACATGGCTCAGCTTTCCAATAGAATTGTATCAAATCCACGGCCACAAAAGTGAATATCACACTTTCCAGTTAAATCCTAATGGACTTGGGCTGTGTCTACACTGGCATGAATTTCCGGAACTGCTTAAAACGGAATACTATTCCGTTTTCAGTTTTTCGGGAAAAGGGGCGTCTACATTGGCAGGCTGCTTTTCCGGAAAAGCCCTTTTTCTGGAAAAGCGTCTGTGGCCAATGTAGATGCACTTTTCCAGAAAAGAGCCCCGATCGCCATTTTCGCGATCAGGGCTTTTTTCTGGAAAAGACTACTGGGCTGTCTACACTGGCCCTTTTCCGGAACAGTGTTCCGGAATAAGGACTTATGCCCGAGCGGGAGCAGAATAGTTTTTCCGGAATAGCGGCTGATTTTGTACAGTAGAGCATCGTTGCTTTTCTGGAAATTCAAGGGCCAGTGTAGACAGCTCGTAGCTTATTCCGGAAAAGTGACTGATTTTCCGGAATAAGTGGCCCAGTGTAGACACAGCCTTGGGGTTTGTTTAACTGTTTAAAACAGCACTAAATTATAACACACGAGGAGACCTTTTGTGCACACTAGCAGGATCTACACAGACCTTGTGTATTTAGCAGCATGTTATACGAATGTGAGACATGGGTGATAACAAAAGATTCGAAGAGAAGGATATTGGCATTCAAAAGGAGTTGTTATAGAAAGATCCTGAGAATAGGAAGGATGCAGAAGGTCACCAATGAGGAATTATATAGGAAAATACAGCTGATATAACCTAGTGCAGAAGGTTATACCACGGAAGTTACAGTTATTCGGGCATATCTGCAGAATGAACAATGGGCAAAAAGTTAAAGACCTTGGTAATTCAGCATAATGGATGGTCCAAATAGGAGAGGCAGATCCCACAGAGAATGGGTAGATGATATAGTAGATTGGTACGGAACTAGTCTACAGAAACAAAGGACATATCAGATTATCAGGGAAAAATGGAAGGAAATAGTGAGGGAGGCATTAGACACCAACGGGTGTTGAGCCCATGGTTGTTGTTGATGATGATGATAGTCTGCTTTAGAAACCATAGTCCCATATGGCATTACTAGTCTAACACATCGACAAGCTCTTGGGGGATAGAACTCAGGACTTTGCAATCCAAATGCGCAGGTTTCGTCCATTGTCAGACTGTATTAGAAGAGTGAGTGTCCCCACTTCAACAAAGGGCTAAATGTAGCCTCAGCCCATCCTTCTGGCTTTTTGTAATGTAAATCTAATTTTAAACTGCCCATCTTTTCAAGGCACTACATTTGTAGTTCTAATCCAATTTGGATGAGTCAGGGGCCATTTGAATAGCACTTATCTACTGATGTGTTGTATTGTTAAAAAAAAGTTCAACCATGATTTATCAAAAAATTAGTTTCAAGACTCTTTTGACCAATGGAAGTCACAGTATGCAAATAACAGAGATTAACTGGTAACCATAGCAATATGTAAATGGGACTTAGGGAACAAGAAGCAGGATAGAATGAAGCTCTACAAACAACCCAAGAAAGGGCAGGAGAGGACAATGCCACCACATCCCCTGCTACATAGCTACATTGCTCTTCCTTCCTTTTCTCGATGAGACAAAGGGAAGAGGTGCTGGGGAATCTTTGCCCCCTTAGTGGAACCAGGTCATCAGCAACTCACTGATGGGACTGGTCACTGCAGAAGGGAGAGAAAGATAAGAAAAAGCATTTGCCTCTGCCAAGGTGCAGTCTTGGTGGATGATGAAAAACGAAGGCAACCATTTGGAAAAAGATGCATATAAAAGCTTATTTGCTGCATATAAAAGCTTATTTGCTGTTCTACAATATAGTTAAGTACATTATAGTTAAATGTCCATATTTCTCAAATGTGGAGACTTACCTCAGTTACTTAAATATCACTATAGTCACTGAAGTTAGTCATGATCGAACCAAGCTAGTTGTGGTAGAATATTGCATGTCTTCTAATGCATGCTGAATGGCATGTGTACTTGAGAGAAAAGAGCCCTGTCTTCTAACTGATCAGTAAAGATCCAGTATATCACTAATTAAATGTTTTATTCTTGATTATGACAGTTGTGATAACATATTCCTTCCTGGATGGGAAATCTTTAAATTCTTCTTCTAACTGAATATCCTAACCAAAAACCATTTATCTCCTTGTCTAGGGTCCTGTGGATTTACTCTGTGACTGGAGAGTGGGTATATCCTCTCTTCACCTTTTTCAGCCCAATGGGTCTAGCGGCCTTTTTCTGCAGTAGCCTTGTGCTCATTGTCTGGATCTACAACACCGGAGAGTTTCTCAACCGTATGATTTGGGGTCAGTTCACTTTTGATTTTTCCATGTGTAATCAAAGGAAATATTGAAATGTGCTTTGAGAGTGAAAGCTGATCAAATAACAGAGTGGTGTTTGTGTGCCTGTCTAAAGGGGAGTCATGCACAAAGCAGATGTTTTATCTCCAAGAGAGTGCCCCAGTTTTTAGCAATACTACCACCCTCCCCCCGAAAAAAATATGCGATACATCAGTTTTCCCTAATGTAACTTGAGAAGGGTCTTCTGCCAGCACAATAATTCCAATCTGATCCCTTCTCATACCATCATGCATAGAATCAAAATTCCTCTGGCCTAAACCTTTGCACCTATGTGCAGAAATTATTCAACTATGCACGGCTGCCATTAATGAGGGGTTTACAGATGAAAGAAAATGGACATTCGTGGACCTGAGAAGCAAGCATCAATGCTTCTGTCAAGGGAACATGATAGATGGCATGTTTGTGATCTTTAACCAACCATTCAATGTCTGCTTTCTGCTTCTGCAGCCCCGAGTTGGTGTCATGAGCCAAGATATTTATTTAAAAAAATTTAGAAACCCACGTAACAGAATTAATTTTTATTTTAGGTAGTTATATTATACATTGAGGGGAAAAAAAATTTTCCCTCGGGTTTTGCATCTTTTTCCCACTCCCTAAAAATAGTTTCTTACGTGAAGATGTTTCTGTTGGGAGGAAATGTATATATTTTGCTCAGGACAAAGGTAGGAAAATTAGTGATTTCTTCCAGGGTGGAATTTTGCAAGCATTGGGAGGAGGCAGGAGAAGGGATCTTGTGGAGACTCATGAAAATCTCAGGTCAAAAGTTTTCAATCAGAGGGCTTAAAATCCACCTAAATAGAAATTACTGAATTTCACAGTTGCTGAGTAACTCTAAAGAGGATGAATGCTACAGGCACCCAGGTTTGAAAATTTGGCCATAGCCTTTTCTTGTTTAAACTTACCAGGTGAAGACTAGTGTAGGTAGCTGTAGCAAGACCTACACAAAAAAAGATGAAGGGCCAGATCCTTCATTCAAACCTACCCAGGCATTTCTACTGATTCAAGAGGGACTACAGAGTTGTAAGCGAGCTAAGAATTTAGCTCCAAATCTGTGATCAAAGGCCACAGGTATCTCTGCTATGAGGAATATAATTTGTTTGCAAACACCACAAGATGCAGTAGCTGGATATCTGTTTCTAAACAAGTATGCCTCTGTTTCTTGGAAAGACGTACCAACAACAAACTTTGTACCATAGAATCACAGAATCGTAGAATACTAGGACTGGAAGGGACCTCGAGAGGTCATCGAGTCTAGTCCCCTGCCCTCGTGGCAGGACCAAATACTGTCTAGACCATCCCTGATAGACATTTATCTACCTACTCTTAAATATCTTCAGAGACGGAGATTCCACAGCCTCCCTGGGCAATTTATTCCAGTATTTGACTACCCTGACAGTTAGGAACTTTTTCCTAATGTCCAACCTAAACCTCCCTTGCTGCATTTTAAGCCCATTGCTTCTTATTCTATCCTCAGAGGCCAAGATGAATGAGTTTTCTCCCTCCTCCTTATAACACCCTTTTAGATATCTGAAAACTGCTATCATGTCCCCTCTCAATCTTCTCTTTTCTAAACTAAACAAACCCAATTCCTTCAGTCTTTCCTCATAGGTCGTGTTCTCTAGACCTTTAATCATTCTCGTTGCTCTTCTCTGGACCCTCTCCAATTTCTCCACATCTTTCTTGAAATGCGGTGCCTAGAACTGAACACAATACTCCAACTGAGGCCTAACCAGCGCAGAGTAGAGCGGAAGAATGACTTCTCGTGTCTTGCTCACAACACACCTGTTGATGCATCCCAGAATCATGTTTGCTTTCTTTGCAACAGCATCATACTGCTGACTCATATTCAACTTGTGGTCCACTATAGCCCCAATATCCCTTTCTGCTGTACTCCTTCTTAGATGGTCGCTTCCCATTCTGTATGTGTGAAACTGATTGTTCCTTCCTAAGTGGAGCACTTTGCATTTGTCTTTATTAAACTTCATCCTATTTACCTCAGACCATTTCTCTAATTTGTCCAGGTCATTTTGAATTATGACCCTATCCTCCAGATTAGTCGCAAACCCTCCCAGCTTGGTATCATCTGCAAACTTAATAAGCGTACTTTCTATACCAATATCTAAATCGTTGATGAAGATATTGAACAAAGTCGGTCCTAAAACAGACCCCTGCGGAACCCCACTTGTTATGCCTTTCCAGCAGGATTGTGAACCCATTAATAACTACTCTCTGAGTACGGTTATCCATCCAGTTATGCACCCACTTTATAGTAGCCCCATCTAAGTTGTACTTACAAGAATATCATGCGAGACCGTATCAAACACCTTACTAAAGTCTAGGTATACCACATCCACCGCTTCTCCCTTATCTCGATAAGACTTGTTATCCTATCAAAGAAAGCTTTCAGATTGGTTTGACACGATTTGTTCTTTACAAATCCATGCTGGCTGTTCCCTATCACCTTGCCACTTTCCAAGTGTTTACAGATGATTTCTTTAATTACTTGCTCCATTATCTTCCCTGGCACAGAAGTTAAACTAACTGGTCTATAGTTTCCTGGATTGTTCTTGTTTCCCTTTTTATAGATGGGCACTATATTTGCCCATTTCCAGTCCTCTGGAATCTCTCCTGTCTCTCATGATTTTCCAAAGATGATACCTAGAGGCTCACATACCTCCTCTATCAGCTCCTTGAGTATTCTAGGATGCATTTCATCAGGCCGTGGTGACTTGCAGGCATCTAACTTTTCTAGGTGATTTTTGATTTGTTCTTTTTTTATTTTACCTTCTAAAACTACCCCCTTCCCACTAGCATTCACTATGGAAAGGGCCCTACGCCCCTCCCTGGGGCTCTCTTCCTCCAGGGAGTCTTCCTTTGATCCTGCCTTGAGTGCGGGGGGCTGGACTCGATGACCTCTCGAGGTCCCTTCCAGTCCTATTATTCTATGATTCTATGATTCTATGTTAGGCATTCCTACAGACTTCTCAGTGAAGACCGAAACAAATAAGTCATTGAGCATCTCTGCCATTTCCAAGTTCCTGTTCCTGTTACCATCTTTTACTACAGATTATTAGGTCTCCCCAGAAGTGACTCCATTCTGAAAGTAGCATGCAGAACAAGTCGCTCTCTCAAAGAAAGCCTTTTGATTCATTTATCGATTGTGAAACAAGCTCAGGATAGGTATCTTTTTCATGCCATATGAATATGTTTCACTACTTCATGTGTGTTTCGCCATTATTTCCTAACCTAAACAAGCCAGTTACAGCAACTGGAGACTATATATATTTTAAAGAAAGTGGAATACAAATGATTTGATGTGAAAGATGGTAACTGAAGAAAAAGGAACATATCAACCAGCGATCAAATTAAATTCAAGTCAGTGTGTGTTTGGAACTGGTGACTAAATATATTCAGCTAAAAATAAGAAATCAATTTCACTAAGGTCTGTTGGCCAGAGATAAACACAATCCAGGACACCAGGTCCACCCTTTAACTATACCCTGAAATTTGGACAAGTTCAGACTATGAATACTTTGAAGATGCTGGTGGATGTCTCAGGAAACATATATAAATGCACTTTATATACACAGCTTGATCCTCAGCAGATGTAAACTAATGTAGCACTGTTGAAGTGACCAGAATGCCACTGAATTACACCAGGTGAGGATCTGAACCATACTGTATAGTTTATATTCCTCAAATCAGACAAAATCATGGCCTCTTCTTGTGATAATTAATGATCCTATGACATTGCTCATACAAGTACAGCGTGTTGCTCCTGGGTTAATATTCTTTTCTGTTTATTTAATTACATTCTTCCCAGCTCATCATTTTAAATGCATGTTCAGTTCTTCATATTCAAAATTACCGTATTTACAATACAATACTGTCTAGCCTTGCCATACACAGTTAAGTGATTGTTGGTTTCATTTTATACATGGCTACATGTTAGTGTCCAAGGGAAGCTATTTCTGCAACAGAGTATAATATGCAAGAGCAAAGACTTCCTCCATTCTTGTTCACTTTGTTCTGGACAAAAGTCTCACTAAACTCTGAGGGAATTTGGCAAATGTAAAAAGACTGATAGATTCGGCCTCAGATTAGTTTGCTAAGCTATCACAGTATTTTTGGATCCTCCTAGGGAAAAAAGAGGCGGTGTATAAATACACACTTCAGTCTCATTTCAGAGCAAATCTAACTGGTTTAAATGAAGTTTTCAACATGTATGGACTAATGCTGTTGTGACTACACACTTTTGGAGACTTAGGGTCAGACTGAGCCCTTTGAGAGCACAAGCAAAGACAGTGCAATGGGGCCTGGGAAGGGGGCCAGTGAATGCCCAGCTGTAGTGTCACACTTCTCTGGGCTGGCCAACCAAAATGGTGTGCCACAAAGATGAGTGAATGCTCCACATCCCTTAAAGGTGAAGGAGGAGGTCTGTCTGAACTGCTATGCCACTCTGGAACTCCCATTAGAGTGCTATTGTTTTGTTCTTCTTCCGCAGCGGAAGAGTGGCTGAATGCCACTATTTAACCTTTTGTGTTATGGGAAAATATAATGGTATGGTATGCTTAGAATCCTGTTGGCAAATATAGAAATAATTTTAAATGATAATTAGTCTTCCTTCCAGTCACTTACTGCTGTCATTACTGACATTCACTAAAAGCTACTCCCACTCTCTTCACATTGTAGATAATATCTGGAGGGCACTTTGTAGTACTGGACAGTGTTTTGTCCAATGCCTTGGACTGATGGCTCCAGGGCAGGTACCTGTTCCTCCCTCTCGTTTCTCACCAGCAACTGGATTTTAGTTAGCTGCATGGCCACTTATCATGGGTGTGGCCAAGTTTCCCAAGGCCCCATAAAGTTAGTTTACAGCCACCAGTCCTGGCGCACAGTGTTCTGTGCTGTTATTTAGTTCTGCTTTACCCCTAACTGTGCAAGTG